TCACGAAACACAAGTTTCTTGTCAAGTTCTGTTGTTTTATGACTAGATGATTCTATTATGAAGCTTATATATGTAATAATACACATATATGTCTGTCAAACTTATGCTGCGTAATTCGATCGATTTCACAAAATGGCGTTTCCGGTAACTCGTAGTATTTTATTGATGTTTTTATAATTATATTTTATTGGTGTAATTAAATAATTATATTTATTCTTTATATTGATTATATAATGTTAGATAAAAGTAATATTATGTTTTTTTTAAGTTTTTTATATTAATTAGTAATGAATTCTTGTTGAAAATTGAAGGGCGCCATTTTTGAATGAGATGCGAAATTTGACAGTCATGTGACATGCGTAGAAATGATGATTCATTATGTGAAATTTTAAATCATCATTTTTTCGTCATTACATTAAATAATTATTTTTTGATATTTCTTAATATTCTTATTTAAAATTTATAAAACTTATAATAGTAATATGTATGACATTTTATAATGAGATACAACTATAGTAAATAATTATGAAATCATTCTATTTTAAGAGTAATAAAGTAAAATTTATTTTTTATTATTTGTAAAACTATTCTATTTATAATATTATTAAAAATAATAATTTAAATAAAATTTCAAATTTATTTTTTAAATAATATTATATAAAATTAAATATAACAATATATAATATATATACATTTTTGTATGATTTTGTAAACTATTTTCCACTTATTTAATTTTTTACATTATATTGTTTTCATATATCAAGAAAAATATATTATATAAAGCAGTTGTTATGTATTTCAAAAATTTATATTTGTAATTATTATGTAAATACAAAAATATGCATATAAATGTATAAACATGTTTTTTTTCTATTAATAATCATTTATGAAAAAAAAGTAATTTTCTAATGGAATATGGATCTATATATTATTTATTTAACAACAATTTAAAATGAATTTTATGTATTGTAGATAAGTGTATATATATATATATATACATAGATAAATAAAACATAGATAAGGTATAAGTATATAGAATTACTTAATTTATATACAAAAATTAATCATCTTTTCTTGTAAATATTTGATTAATATTTTTATAAGTTTTTATAAACTTTAATACTATTGATTAAATTTTTTAAAAATATTGTATAGATTTTTAATTATTTAATTAATATAATTAAACGTAAATTTATAATTAAAAGAAACGCTTTTCCTTTGTTAGTATTCTTCTTGTCATGTCATGTTATTATGACCTATTTTGTAATAGATTAGTATCACATTTAACATAGTTATATATTAAAAAATTGCACTTTTCATTTGTTGAATATTTAATATTTGGCCTTGAATAAAAGTACTTGTTCCCACTTATAAGAATTTAGTTATTAACGATTCTTATAGTCTTTTGCGTGCTATTCCATAAATTGTACAGCATTCTTCTAGAAAGAAGGAAAGAGGGAATAAATTTTAAAGAAATGAAACTTACATTGTATTTGAATTTTCTTCTTGTTTCTTTTTATTTAACTAGAGCTAATATTTCTAGTACATTGTACGTTCCTTTAATAAAATGGATTCGTAGTTATTATTCAACTTCTTCTATTTTTTTTTTATCTTCATTCAAAGAGGACAAACATTTCGATAGTACGATTTTTTTAAATTTATTTATAATATACTTGATCACATATTTATAATAAAAGGAATATATATTTGCATATTTTTACATTGTTTAGATTTCAAAATAAAACACTTGTCATACATGTGGTCTCGTCTTCTCCAGCGTGAACAAATTGCAACTTTAACTACTTCATTTAAAAACATTCATACACTGAAAAATAATCATCTTCGATCGTTGGTTATTGTTATTATCCCTGGACCTCACATATTATTTGAATTTTCAAAAATTTCAAAGTCCTTAAAAATGTCTTCATTCTCATGGTTTATCATATTCATACCTAATATGAAGGATATAAAAAGATATTGTTACGAGCCACCAGGAAATATATTTAATTTATTATACGACACTCAAATGTTAGTGATGTGTGAAGATGATCCTGTTCTTCGTGAGTGGTATTCAATTGATGAGAACAAAACTGAAATATTGGACATAGTCAAATGGCATCCAGAGAAGCAACAAATAGGGTTTCCAGCGGCAATTGATTTGTTGACTAATTTAAGTTTGTACGAGAGAAGAAACAATCTCAAAGGAAAAGTTTTGCGAGCTGTCATTGTTAAGGTATTTCACGTATAATAATTAAAATGAAATTCAATAATATTATTTATTTTTTATTTACAGAATTCGTTACTATTCTCAATGAAAAACAATAAAATGGGAGGATATTTTAGTTTAGCGATCACTGAACTTGAGAATGCTTTAAATTTTACTCTCAATATTGTGGCCGAAAAACGTGAATTTGGAAGCTATAACATGACGACGAAACGTTGGAGCGGAGCATTTTCTTTAGTAGCTTCTGGAGAAGCAGACATTGGAATATCTGATTTCTCAATGACCAATATTAGACTTAATTTCGTCGATTATACGATTCCTATTATAACAACTAAAAGATGTTTGTTTTTAAAGCAACCAGAGATGTTCACAGTAAAATGGTTCGCCTATTATAAGGTACGTATCGTGAAATCACAGATAGATATGTCTATATTGCATTATAAATTCTGAAAATATTCATTTTCAGGTTTACAATTTCATGCTCTGGATATCTTTAATCGTGACGATGATAATTTCTCTATTTGTTTTGGCCTTCATAAGATCTAAAATAGAATCGAATAATATGATTCAAGAGATATTCAATGAATTTATTCGAATTTGGGGCATTTTCTGTCAGCAAGGAATTTCAGGAGGCGAGTCAAAATTAGATTAATTAATTTTAATTAAAAATCCATTTTAAATTTTGGTTTTTCTTCGAGAAAAAGATCAAACACTTATGTGAATATTTTCCACAGAACTTCCACGGAATTTATCGTTAAAATTGGCATACTTCACCGTACTTATGACTGCTCTAGTGGTATTTACCGCTTATTCCGCCTCTATGATATCTTTTGTGACAGCTTGTATTCGCAATGTACCGTTTCATACGATAGAAGAGTTCATCGATGATAGTTCGTATAGCTTAATCATGCTAAAAGGTTCCTCCGATTACGACATGTTCATTGTAAGTTTGTCCAATAACGGAGAATTCTCGCACGATATGCTTTCACTTTTACTTGCATGTCGAATGATTACGTTATATATGCAATATAATACGAACGATTGAAATACGTGTAACAAGTGAAAAAATACATTTCCCAAATGAACGACGAACAAAATAGAATGCATACGCTTTAATGATAATGCATTATATAAAAATATTATTATCATTTTCAGTATTCGAAAGATTCTGCATCAAAATATATGATGTCCAAACTCTTGCCAATAGATAAATTACCAATCGATGTAGAAAGCGGATTTCAAATCGTAAGTTTATATTATTTATACGTATTATATATATGTGTGTGTATATTATATTTTATTTATGTGTCGATGACATTTTAAATTCAATTTTTTTTTAATAATTCAATTTTTTATTTTTAGATATGCGATAATTCCAAGATAGGATATTACAGTGGTTATACTAAGAGAATACAGAAAATAACGCAGAGTTGGCGTATACCATGTGAAGTTTATTGCATCGATATCGGCCCAATAGATAGCTTATCTCTGATCCTTTCAAAAGACAGTCAATTTACTTCAATTATAAATTACTAGTTAGTATTTATCGATGTTATATATTGATGATCTTTAAATATTTCTTCTAAATTATAATCATAGATTATAATAATTAAAATATATATTATAAAGTTTGCAGAAACTTTTAAACTCTGGAATATTGAATCGATTCAAGAACGAAGAAATTTTCGCGGAGGAAAGTAAATTTGAGCCAGTTGCAATTTATAGCGTTGCATCTATTATAATAATCTTTTTCGGCGGTGTTGTATTAGCACTTGTAATATTGTTCATAGAGATATATTACAAAAAACTTAATTCTAAATCTCTCTAATTTTATTTCTTTATCTTTGTATTAAATATGGCTTTTTGCATATGGAATATCTGGAGGGATTGATCATAAACAGTGGCTTGTGCTTTAAGTTATTAAAAGTTTGCGCACAAATAATTGAATAATCGCCAACATGCTAATTTCTCAATTTTGATTCTAAACGAAAAATTTTCAAAAGAAATGCAAAGAAAATAAAAACTTTTTATAAAGATTTAATTCACTATATATATGTATATATCATATATGTATCATATAATGATGCAGAATGCTGTTTCGTCCCTTTAGTTTGTCTTTAACCAAATATCTAACTTGAAGACACGATAACGAATACATTTATAATATCAAGAAATGTCACATTCATTCTTCATACTCTCAAATTGTGGATATAAGTTGTACATACAACCGATGTAAAAGTATGATATCTATAAATGACATCTATAGAAACATCCATTAAATCACGACATTGTACATGTTCTAATAGAAACACGTGCACGTGTGCGAATAAACGTTCTTATCTATGTTAATCTTTGTAACAATTTATATATAATCTGTATGATTGCACGGGTGATGCATACTGTGGTCATTACTATCCTTATTTCTAGATCTGTACCTTTGATAAGTCCCAATGTAACCTGTAATTACGGTTTTTCTGTATTTTAGTTTTGTAGTTAGCATTAGGAGCGGTCGAGGTTTGAAAGGGAAAAGAATATTATCGAGTTTCAAAAATCCAAAAAAACGCATTGATGAAAATAACGAAAGAGTTATTATTAAAACGTTAAAGTGAGATGGCACGAGTGACTTGTTACGCTATTATACTGTTATTCCTTTTGCCCGTTCCATCGTTCTCGATGGATGTAAACGATCCTCGCAAATATATACTTTTAATTAAAGATGTTCACAAGTATTACGAAACGACTTGCATCATAATCGTGCGTTCAGACAGTCATACCGGTAAGTTTTGTTCACTCTTCTCGAAAATTGTACGCGTGAAAGCGAAACAGACTTGATTATAACATTTAGATTGATCAATTTAAAATGCGATATCAATATATGGCGAATCGTAATACCTATTCTCTCAAGTTTAAAGTACTTTCTTTCTCGATCGTCGATTCGAGTAGAGAAAAGCATAGGCGGGAACAATTGTCGTTTCAGAGTTCGATCAAACGTCTCTGGCTTACATATGGTCCCGAGCTTTTTCTCAACAAGGCATCTTGACCATGATCGCGAGCTTTTCCGAATTATTACACGAGAGAAAATTTCAAGATCACACAACACGTCCACTGTGCGTCGTTATTCTTACTACGAAGGAGAACATGATTGAATTTTCGACCATCACCAGATACATCGATATTTCTTTTTTCGTCTGGTTGGTGATGTTTCTACCTTATCAAGAAAATTCTATGCGAAATTTTTGCCAAAATCCTATTGGAAATCCGTTCAATCTGATCTTTAACACGGAGATGTTGGTCCTCTGTTACGATCACCCGATTTTGAGAGAGTGGTATGCTTTACGCGACAATAAAACGAGAGTTTTCGATTTGGCCACATGGAAATCTGGACAAGGATTGAACGTAACGACGAGAAGCACTTTGTACGCAAGAAGAAACAATTTATTCGGACAAACGATGCGAATATCGATCGTCAACGTGAGTGTCATGACAAAATTTCAATTTTCCGTGAAAGTTGAAAATTAATTTATATTTTCAAGGAATCTTTGTTCATCGAGATGAAGAATGGTGTTTTGTCGCTTTTTTGGGGGGCAGTGGTCAAAGAATTGAGCAAATCGATGAATTTCAAGATCGAAGTGACCAGCATAATGTCGGAGTACGGTAGTTGGAACGAGGAGGAAAAGATTTGGGAAGGTGTTATAGGTGAATTAGTATCGAACAAAAGCGACATGGGCGTCGCAGAATTCAGCATGACCAGCCACAGGTTGGACGCGGTCGACTTTAGTTTGCCGTTAATTATGTCGCACAAGAGAATATATTTTAAAAAACCCGACAGCTCATCTGTACACTGGTCCGCCTACTTGAAGGTTTTCTTTTCTCAACAGTATACTACATCTCGTGGTTTTTAACGCGTATAATTATGAAATTATTAGACCAAGAGTATTTACTTCTTTCCTTTTTTTACGCATCGAAGTATGCGTCAACCAACTTTCGATGTCATAATAAATTCTCAATTTTCAGACGTTCAACATAGACATTTGGATGGTGATAGTGTGTCTAATCGTATCCGTTCCGATATTTTTAACCGTTATTAAAACGAGGGGTCGTGTCAAAATGAACGTTCTAACGGATAATTACATGTATGTTTGGGGTATTTATTGTCAACAAGGATTGTCAGGTAATTAAAAAATTATGACAAGAAATATTTTCTTTACCGCGCAACATAATTCCCTTTCCAGAATTTCCAAGCGAGACCTCAATGAGATTGGGCTTCCTATCGATTTTCGTGTCGTCATTGATCATTTTATCCGCTTACTCCGCTTCGTTAACCAGTTTCTTAACAGTTTCTACGGTTAGCTTACCTTTCTCCACCATGGAGGAATTCGTCAATCATGGATCGTACGGATTAATCACGTTCAGGAACAGTGCTGATTACGAGATTATAACTGTAAGACGACAAGTGTGTTTGATCTATATATATGAATAATATATAAGCGAACATATGGTGTAATAGATACGATTTCAGTCCAACAATCGCAGCATAACTTTAAAGCTGAAGAAATTAATAAAGGAGAAACACGAATTGCCTTTGACGGCTCAGGATGGATTCGTACAGGTTTGTGATAGTATGACAGTAGAAGAAGAAGGACGGTATTTTCAGAATATTCGTAGAATTGAAATTAACAAATATCAAAAAAAAAAAAAAAGAATCAAATTTAATTTATTCTTTCTGATTTTCTAGGTTTGCAACGAAAAAGTAGGATTCTACTTGACCAAAGCGATAATGAATGCTATGACAACAATACCGTGTAAAACTGTATACATCAAAGCATCAGGGATCGATAATTTGGCTTTTATCTTGACTAAACGAAGTCCCTACACTGGATTGGTTAATTACTTGTAAATATATATAGTTTAATTTAACGTCAACTCGTTTAGCTTTAATACATAATCATGATTCTCGTGAATATTTTCACAGCATACAACGATACAAAGACAATGGAGTAATGAACAAGTTAAAACGCATGCACTTCGTGAAAAAGAAATTTTACGATACCGGATACAATAGTGTTACTTTGAGCGGAATTGCGCCTATTCTATCTGTTCTGGCCGGTGGAATACTTTTTAGCTGTGTTATATTGATTTTCGAGAAGGTATACCATCAATTTTGCAGCTGTGAATCCAAGAAAACGTATCAATTCGTATTTTGGCAGAAATTTTTTGATCGAGAACTCGGGATGAATTCTCGGAAAGAAAGAAGGCGAGATCAAAATCTCGTAAGAAACGCGTTCAAATTTAAGAAAAATCAGCTATCGGCAATTCTTCGTAAGAATGATTTTCTCACATAATTGATAAGAGATAAAATCGACTCGATCGCGTGACTTTAATTGAAGATCGAAACAACGTTGATAAAGGCTCGTTTGTTCCCTATCAGTAGAAGAGGTCTCGTTAATTTGTCATATATTCCCATCCATGCGAGCAAAATCACTTTCACTTTATATCACACGGTAGCATCGATATATCGTTATAATAATTAGTTACAAGTTTCCATCGTGTATCGTTCCTCTCGCCTGCACATTAACGGGACTCGATGCGAAACCTTTCAATCATAATTCCTTCTAATAGCGTTAATCACCGTAACAACTTATATTAAACTCATGTAATATAAAACGTGTTATATTTTGTAATCGTTCAATAATAACCAGGGAAAATCCTCGTTTTATCATAATATCTGTATTATCGATGATCTCAACTAATAATAATATATGCAAGTAGCGATTAAAAACAAGAAGAAACATGTTTTTATTGGAAAACTCGGATACAAATATTCGATTGAACAACCATGGTAATAACGTTGCGCAACACAGGTATCCCCATGCTTGCATAAGAGGAGCAATTACACGTTGATCGTGTTAGCGGCGAAGACTCGTACGAAATGTTTGACCTAAGACCTTTCAAGAAGAAATTCACCCACGTGACTATCTTCCCACGTGAATCGCTTGATATCTGCCGGCTAATCGAAACACACGCGAGGATCCCCTTTATCGCTTTATCCTCATCCTTGGATCCCCGTCAACACAGGGATATCTACTACTAGATTTAAATGTTAGGAAATTACGCGAAATTTGATCGTGAGAAAGTCAGAGTACTTGCGCTTTTTATAAATCCAAGAAGAAGAGAAAGAGAGATCGATCCTTTCGTACTTGGTGTTTCGCAAGATAAGAAAAAAGGACGCGAGGAGAAAGGTTGAAAAAATAAATTACGCGAGTACGAGTTAATTAACTTTAAAAGTAATATGGAAGTTTTTTGCTGGATAAACAAAGATGTACCGATTAGTTCGGTAGATTCGATACTATCGAGTTAGTGTTGTGAAAGGAAGCGCAGCGACCGGATACAGACGAGCACGCGCTTCGTTTCCGCTTTTCGTTCGGCCGGAAATGACCTTTGCCTTATTACAAAAAAGTTACACGCACTCAAAAGTTGCGATCCACTATCGTCAAACTCGGGGATTTTTTCGAATCGATCGAATTTCCAACGTTCCTTTACGTTATATTCATAAGAGACGATTAATTTCGAGCGATCTTCTCCGATCGTATCTTCGCTCGAGTTATATAGTTGCAGTGTTTCTTTTTTCTTTTTTTTTTTACGTTGGAAGAACCGGATAACCTTGGCATCGACGCGCAAAATAATTCTTGGACAGGAATCGGCCGTGTTCGAGATGACTAATGCTTAAACGAGCGAGGAGACTTATTAATCGAATGCGACTTATCGAGGTGAGTTTTATGTACGTAGGATGCGCTCGCGATATTACGGACATACACAGATATTATTGCACCCACCTACCACCTGCGCCCACCTCTCGCGCGCCGGACGACCTCCGAGTCATCGATTTAAATTTGCGTTGCGTCGTAACGAAACGATCGTAATCGAAAGCGATCAACGGTATCCCATTTTAAAACGAATCTATCCTCTGTTTAGTCTCGGCACACGTGCCACTCATTGTTGGCAGGTTGTGTCATCCCTGGGCTTGTCCAGAATGCCATTATTATCGCGGCGGCGCATGCCGAGCAGGTAATCGCCGCTTCTATCCACCGTTAACAATGATAATAATAAAAAAAGAAAAAAAAAAAAGAACGATTGCGAACCAGGAAACAATAATGCTCGCCGATAATGACTATTGTCGAAGAGGTCGAACAATGATGCATGGCACGAGGGGAAGAGGACTGTTTCGCGGAAAGTGATCGTGAAGAAACGAAGCTATACGTCTATTCGCGCGATGCCGCGAATACTGGTCGAGTCTGTCTATTGTAAACGGAATAAAATAGCAATAAGAACGAGAGAGGGAAGGAAATGGAATCAAGATTTATCCTCTCTTTCAAGTCCAACGCACATTGGACGTATATTTGACACGGTTGTCGCGTAACGATCCAACTCGTCGATACTTCGAAGAAGTTAGGACGTAACCGGTAATATAACGACATTTGCGGTTCGCGAAACGACTCTATCGAGAAACGAGGCAACTCGGCGTTGATCCTCGTTTCCCTCCGTAAATCCACTACCAACCAGTAGTTCATTATCATCGCTTGAAACCGTGGGCGGCTATTAACTCGTGCATTGGCTTTTGAAACGTTCGTTCGCCACGATACGATATATTCCGGAATGGAGAACGTAATCGCGATTACGGCTACTTAAGCGTGCGAAACAGAAATTGCGGACTATTTTCGACATCGCTTACGAACGAATCGAGATCTCGACCTTCGAGAGACGTGACGCTTCACGAGCATCGATCGCACCGACGATAAATTACACGCTCGATCAACGACGATTAAATAGAAGAACGGGTGGACGAATGGAAACGCGAGAAAGATGGGGGGGCAAGGGTGGGACGGACGGGCGGATTGCGGTTGCGTTCCGTGGAAGCAGCAAGAAAATTTGACAGTTGGCGGGCATCTGGCTTCTCCTTTTCTCCTCGATGCCAACCGTGGCTGCCCACGTATACCGGGTGTCGCGTGGGTGTGCGTCGCTCGTGCTGTACGCGTGCACGTAGTGGGGATCCTTCGGTGGTACTTCACTGGCTCGTACGGAAAGGAAAGGAAAAGAGTGGTGTACCTACAGCTGTGCCTGTAAACGCGATTATGTTTCGTCGCTGGCAAACCCATTCAGTGCTTCTTACGGCACGAAGGAACTTGGTACTGTCGCTTCAAGCGTTCCGTCGCGGCAACACGCGTCCTCGCTCGCTCTTCGAATCGCGTATTCCCTTCGAGTTGCAGCGAGGAGGAAGTCGCGCGTAGGACTTTGCATAGTTTCGACCACGAAATCACGGGTGTGCACGAGTTTTCGGCCAGGTCTGTTTGTTTTTTCCGCTTCCGGGGAAACGGAACCGCGTGCGTGGACCGCGCGTAAGCGTACAACGCTAATCCGTAAGTAACTTGTACGCGATAGCAGTGAAAATTATTCTCGATACCAGCGTTTCGATACCACGTTTGTGCCGGTCCTCGTGGAAATAGGAATTTTTGCCTTTCGTTTCGAGAGAGGGAGAGAGAAAAAAGAGAAGAGGAAAAGAAGAGAGAAAAAAGAGAAAAAGAAAAAAGAGGAGGAGGTTGTGCGTGCAGCACAACGTGCAGCTGTTTCTTTACGTGGGATCGTAAAACAGTTTGGGTGAGTTTTTGGAGATTTGGAAGCGATTCGATTTTTCAAAGATCGTAAAGAAATAGATAATCGAAGTGAGGCAAAAAAATTGCATTTTCCCAATTAACAGAGAGAGACGATTTATGGCTCGTAAATTAATAATTCGTTTTAAACTCATCCGTTGCGAGGATGGTCAATACTTCCACTACCCTGACAGAGGTTAGCCTTGAAACTTTTTATCAACCGTAACGCGTAAAAATAGAATATTTCCTGGCATCCGCTGCTCGGTTCTCATCCTCTTACATGGGATCGGTCTAGTTTTACCGTGGATGGCTGTCACTAGTTTAAAGGAAGCGGATCCGCTAAGTTCTCAACATAAATATGTATATACCGAGCGATCTCGGCTCGGTGATAAAGCACGGGGAAAAGCACGAAGGGTTACGTGGAAGACAGGCGTGCAATTACGGTTTATCCGGAGCCCCGTACGCTCGATTCACGTCCAATTAATCACTAATTGACAATGAAAAACGTTAGAAACGTTAGAAGGAAAGCGTTTGCGTAATAACAGTGGCGAACTGCATGCCACTGCTATGGAAATAAATATAATACCCTATCGTTTCCGGCTCGCTACGTTGAGAGATGGCAGCCTTCTGGCTGGAGCTAAGAACGTCGAGGAAAGGCTGATAAAACGCGTGGAAGAAGGGAAGAGAGAGAGAGAGAGAGAGAGAGAGAAAGGGAACGGATGCGTGTGCCGTGGAGAAGTAAAGCGCCGCCATTCTTTTAATGGAAAATGCATGAACCTTTTTATTGCAGAGGTAACGAGAGAGCGGGAGAATAGTTTCCGTGATTAGAAATTCTACTACGAAGAAGGACAAATCGAGTCGAGATATCGAGAAGAGCGGCCGAGTTTACCAGAACCGGGCCTGTCTGTCGCATCGTGGCCATCGTTTGGCCTAGCGTGCGCTTAACGAGAATCCTCGCGTCGTGAAACGTTGTCCACGTTTGAAGGAAATGGTACGTACGTAAATCACGATTGATTTCCTTTCGTCGCGTGTATTTCCTTTCGAGCGTGCCCCTGCTTGCTTTACGCACCATTGTCGCACTAATCGGAACGGAAACGAAAATGATAAATCGATCGAGCGAGACTTATCGATGAACATCTTCCTCGCGATCTTCCTTGGAAAGCTCGTGGTTATGGAAAAACGATGTAAAAATCCTGTTCGAGAATATCTCGCCTACCGTGACTAATTGACGAATAAACAATGGTCGTAATAAGTTACCGTGAACGAAATTGCAAATTCCTTTCGGGGGAAGTCTTTACGTACAAATCGAAATTATATAGAGGAGGCCGTTGTTGCGTGATGCGTTTCGTGAGACTAACTCTTCTAACCGGAAGAAGAACCTTTTCGCCTGGAAACGACGATCTCTTTAAAAAAAAAAAAAAAAACCACGATTTCTCTCGAAATGGAATTCGAATTGGAAAAAAGCCTATCAAATATCGAAGAACGAATCGTTATTTCTCTCGCGAGAGCATCGAACCGATGTCACCGCATCGTGCATCGTACGCTACACGTATCACAGACGCATCTCTCCAGTACCGAACCGCAAAAAAACCTGTACACGTGGTAACGTTGCGCGTACGTTGTTTCGAACGTACTCGAAGAAACTAAAAATACGATATCTGTTCGCGATCGAGTGGACGAGGCTGGCGACTACTATTACTCGATTACGTTTGCCCGTGATAACCGCAAAAACTGATACGACGCGTAACTAGTACGATAGCAATATTTACGAGGTGTATATATATATATACCGATAATTGTAAAGATCGATGATGCACGATGATCGATCGATACGAAGGTAAGAAAGAACGAAACTCGAAGCGTTACATAACGGATCACGATCGAACGATATTAACGGCATAACAATCGGCCGTGGAAGCGTTGGCTGTTGGACAAAGCGGCGATCCTAATAGAATGAAAGGAACGCGGCGACCGTTCCATATGATCGATCTTGGCGTCCATTTACGGCCGTCGTCGATCGTCACCCCCGACGTCGGCCCATCTCGCGTAATTGGAATGCAACGAGACTTAAAATACCGATTAAAATACAGTTGGATACGACGGTTGAAACGACGACGAAGGATTGTCGCGTCGATTAGCGCGCTACACCTACGTGTCTTTGCGCGTGTCGCAAGATGGCCGGGTCACCGCTGCCTACATGGTTGACACCCACCGACTCGTTGTCGGGCTGGAGCCTTGGCGGCGAGCAACCGACGGCGGTCTACCTCTTCGTTGTAATTTACGCCGATTAACAGTTACGCGATCCTCGCCGTGTAGGAAACGTTAAACGTAAGGATCGCGATCGAAAGAGAAATTATCCGATCGATCCGGTCTCGGTTAACAATTTCCTCTGGAAATTGCGCAAATTCCACGGAGAGAGGAAATCGTATCAACGGTGAGCACGCTCGATCACCGCTCTTCACCGATAAATAAATCTTTCCTCGATCCAGCGTGGATCCAGGGAACGGAAACGAAGATACCCAACTCGCTTGCCTCTCAAACGGAAGACGTTGATCTACCGCTTTAAATATGCGATAAGATACGCTACGTTATGGAGGGAAGAAGGAATTATCCGTATTAATGGGAACATTTGATTTTCAGGATGGGGATGCGAGAACGCGAGAATGACGGTTAAACGATCGGGAGAAGGGAAGGACAAGAAGATAGGCGAGAGGTAAAAGAAGAAGAAGAAGAAGATGGTGTACAGAGGCAGTTTGCAGACCGACGATCCCAGGGATGCACCGAGGCTGGTCAGGATGTCACCGCTCAGAAGCAGCAGGCCGAGCGATCCCGTGCCCGATTCACGAGCAGTTTCCTCCATTAATAGCCCGATGTATCACGGCCCGTTTGTGCCAGCAATCGACGTTCATCGGGCCAAATTGATCGATGAAAGACGTATGCCCCGTTGTGAAAGAGAGATCGAGTCAATGGAGAAGGTGATTATGAGGACGACCGGGGTCAAGGTCGGGGCGCCAAGGCTGCGGAACATCAGTCAGATACGGGACACGGTGTTCGTCGATCCGGCACTGATACCTATGGAGAAGATCGGCCGGGTGGAAAAGGATCGGCCGAGAACAATCGCGATCGAAGGCGCGACCGGTAGATCGTCGAGGGCGCCGAGCTCCATGCTCGCCGATTTGAAGGATCTGGAGAGATTGAGGAACACGCCTCCGGCTCAGAGGTATCAGAGGGGGATCGCGGCGGCGAAGAAGAGCGAGGCGAGATCTTCTGTCGCGCCTAATAAAAAATCGGAGATCTCGAGTTCGGCCAAGATTCGATCGGACATCTTCAAGATACAACAGATGTTCCAAAGCCCCGATAACTGTCCGAGGACGGTGGTGAAATGTTCGAACGAGAAGAAGATCGAGAAGAGGAACGAGTGCGAGAAGAGATCCGGGGGGGAAATTAATAAAACGAGATTACTCGCTCAAAAATTGTTGGAGGCGTCCCGAAGCAATCGGGAATCGTTGAAGGATCGTTACAATAATCCGAGGAACGCGTCCAAGGTTGGTAAAAGCGTGAACGGTAAAAGTGCGTCGAGTAAGGCGTGTTCGCAGAAGAGCGGCGTGGATCCCAAGCGATCCGAGAAAGGGAAAAGTGTCGTAGGGTCGGAGGAGATACACCCGCAACCTCCTATTCGTAAGAGAAAAGAATGGAAGAACGGACGCAGCTGTGAAACGGACAAAACTACGGTGGACGATCCCGGGAAGGAGGATAAGAACGATATCGAGGAGGATTCGAGGAGCGGCGAGAACACGGGGAAAGAAATTGAAACGTCGTCGAACGACGACAATCGTTCGAACAACGGCGATCCAACGGATGAGTCAAGAGCGAGAACGAAGGAGCTCAACAGGCCGGATATTCTGGACGGATTGTTGAAGGAGTGCGATCGGCAAATGGCGGACTTGAAGTCGGATTTGCACGAGAGGAGGAGATCGCGAAGCCATTGGAGAGGATTCGTGCAATCGATGAGGCTGCACGACGTCGAGCTTCATTCGGACACCGAGGATCAACGAAAGGGTGAGCGAGTCAATGTTTGTTCACACTTTAGATTAGAGATATCTTTGTTACGTGTTAGAAAACAAATTTATCGTCGACGTATACATCTGCGCACGTATCAAAGATAATTCCTGGTAAAGAGAATAGTAGAGGTTCGAAAAGCTCGACGAATAAAATGATGGAAAATCGATCTCGCCAATCTGTATTATTCCATTCCGTTTCGTCGAAAATTGCTCCGCGATTGTCCCTAAAGGAGCATTCACGCTTCTATATGCATCTGTAATACCGATCTACGCACACGATCGGCGGAGTTAAGTGAGATTTATTATGAAATATCTGCTGGTCATTTCGATGACCCTCTCTCCCTTCCCCCTTTGATTGTTGGCCTGCTTAAAGAGCAGAGGGAGTTTTATAAGCCGGCGAATTGGATTAGCAACGTTCGCCGAGGTGTTTAAAATTACAACCGGCGTGGCCATTAATCCCTTAGCTCGGGGCACCCCTATTTTTAGACATTCAGTGTAGGCTCCCTTTGTCGCTCTTGTTGCTAGTGCAGGTCAGGGTAGCGTATCCCTAACAACATATGTCCCAACATATGGATTTAGCTAGGAGGAACGGAAAACGCTTCTACTCTCCTCGCTTCGTGTAACATAAAATCGTGATCGTGTCCCCCACTTCGTGCTTGCTCCACTTCATCCAACGATCCTTTCGAAATAATTCGAATCGCGAAGAAGGAAGCAAGCATTCTTGCTTTTTTGCTTCCTTTCAAAATTTTGGAATCTCGTTCGTCCGATCCAAGATCGCGACGCGGAACGTTCCTGTCGCGATTAGACGGTTGATTTCTCGATTCTCACGCCACGAATTTCTCCTCGTCGCTTCTCTCTCATCGATCGCGCCAGATCATTTATTTCGATTCGACGAGCCTCGACGAAAGCCAACCGCTTTTTTTCCCGTCCCTTTCGGTTTTATTTTTATCTTTCGATTATCTTACTTTACGTTACGTGGATTTACCTTATCTCGACGCCCTCGAAAAGAGGCTCGCTCCACGCTACGAAACGAAAACGCTTTATCGCGTTACAATTTTGGGCACACTCGTAAAACGGGGGAGGGAAGGGAAACGGAGCGGTGGTTTTAGGGCGAGGGGCTCGTCTTTCGGAAAAGAAACGATCGAAAGTCTAAGCTTCTTCTCCCGTCTTTCTCTCTTCCTCTCCTCGCCAGATATATATTCGCGATGTACGCGATTCGATAAATTACGGGACTGTCGTCGCGTTAAAGATATACGAGCCAAGGTATTTACATCGTTTTCAGCGTGTTTCCAAATACTTTTTTTGCCACGCGTTTTAGTTCCATGCATCGTTCGAGCGAGATTGCGAATATTAAAAAAAAAAATGGGGGGAATTTCTCGCGCGCGTTCACGCGAAGAAAATTTCAAATTTCGCGAGCGAGGAATATAATTTATATATCGTGTATCGATATCGAGTTTACACGAAAAAGTTGGAGGGTTTATTCGATTCGCCTTCTCTGCCGCACGATTGCACATTTTCACGCGCGGAAAAGTTATTGCGCATCGGCATTTACCACTCGCCTTGCCCACTGTTCATAAAAATGATTACGCAAAAAGCTGTGTTAACCGTCGAACGATTGCGTACGTTTCATCTTGCGTCAGAATGGCGAGGGACGCGATAAACGTTTACGAAACGACGGCGCATCCCGCGAATCGTCCCAACACGAACGCCCCTTTTCAAGGATTCCCCCTTATTTTCATCGGTACGAAATTGTTTCAAGCCTTGGAGTGATAGCAAAACGGTCGAAAGCAAGCGATGGGAAAAGCACGGTTGGCTGCCGACCACGAATCGTCGTGGATGGATTACAAATCGTTCTCTGTGACGATCGTCGACCGGAAGAACCGGCAAATATCTCGAGGAGAACAATAGGCCGCGGCTCGATAAGGATTCCACGGACGAACGATCGATAGGCGGTCATCGATGATGCATCGTGCCGATGCACTCGAAATGCTCGTGCATTCTTTCGACGTGCACACGCACATGGGTGTGTATCCAGAGTGACGGCCCTTACCCTTCGAGTCTACGCCCTAATATTGATCTGCCGTCCTTCCTGCCCCTCCATGGTGGCCCATGGTGTGCGTACAATGAAACGCAGCCATCTTCCCCCTCGTCCCGCCAACACCCTACCAGACCCATACCGTAAGTCCGGCGTATGGGCCGATGTTGCTCCTCAGTGCAAATCTAGCTGTCAAACCGCGAGCATTTTACAACGGAGATCGAACCCGTCGCCGATCCACCTTTCCTCCTTCATCGTGGACACCTTCCTTCCCTCCCTCCCCCCCTCATTCCTCCACTTCCCATTTTTATCCCACCCTCCCTTTCTTTTTCCTCGTTTCCCTACCTCCTCCTCTCTATTTCTGCGGTCTCTCCCTTAGTTTCCGCGGCAACCAGATCCGAACCGTTCCTTTATTTCGTTTTTTCCCTCGTATCGTTTCCCCCTGACCGTGCTCCTCGTTCAACGTTCAACGTTCGTCGTTCGTCGTTCGTCGTTCATTGCTCGTCGCTTGGTGGACACGAACCGCGCGAGTTCCTCGAACCAGGGGCCGGTCGACTACACATTATCGAACTTGGTCGATACGCGCACGCCGTTCCTCGTCGTCTTCCTCTTCGTCCCGTTCCGGCCTGTCGTCGCGACGTGGTCGCCGACCAGCGTCCTCCGGGCGTGCCAACTTGTTCAGTGCGGACGCGATCACGCGGTCGGATGCACACGCAACCTTATTCCCGCTGGAGATGGTGCTCTGCGACGTCTGCGACAACAAAGGTGAGAGATCTCTTTGTAACGTGCTTACGATATTTCCCTGCGTACGATTAACCTTTCCACGAGTGAGTCGTTGCTCGTCGTTGAAATTTGACGAGCTTACGTAAGTTGTATCGTATAAACGATAAACTTGTTCCACGAGAGAACAATTTCTTTAACGCTGACTTTGCGACCAAGGTTTTTGTCTCTCTGAGTCGATGACGGATGCGCGTTTCCTTTTCTTTTCTTTTTTTTCGTATCGATATATTAACGATCGATCACGCGACTCTCCTCGTCCCCCCAACGGAGGAGGGACGAATAAATCGGTGCCGTACGGAGCAACGTGGTTTCGATACCGATCGATAAGGAGATTCTCGTGTTTCAGCGTACCGTGTCGTGTCACGAGCGGATTATTTATTACGTTCGTTCGTTCGTTCAGAAAGAAAGACGGGAGCATCCAGCCGCCGAAAGGTGAGAGAAATCCTTCCGTGGTAAATGCCTGACATTTTCATCCCGACAAGTTCAACCGCCGTTTCACCCGTTTCGCGAGACGTCTCCGCCAAATTTTTCCCTCCCCCTCCTCCTCCTTTCGAACCGTATGCTAAAACTGTACCGTTGATCGAAATAATCCGTGTTTAAAATGTCAAATATTTTCCAAGGTGCGGCTTCTTCCCATCATAGGTACGCCCCGTTTCGTTCATGATGATTCCGTATACTCGAATTCCTTCCGTGTACTTTTATCATTCTCCGCAAATTTATTCGCAATCTTTTCGCGCGTGATTATACAACTAACTATCATTACGAATTATTTTAGAAAGTTCTTAAATTCTTGTATTGGACGTTGTATTCAGAAATTTGGAAGCGAAAATAGATACCGAAAAAAAAATTCCATCGGTGTCCCTGCCCCCTCGACGTGCATCGTGTATCGTGTCTCGCTATTGTACACCATTGGGCGTGCCATAAATTCCGTTCCAAGAAGAGTCCGATTAAAACGGCAGACTAAGCGGCTCTGGAGATTACGAGGACCCGACTCGGTGTAAACAAGCCTCGTTATGCACTTAATTACGAGCACTCAAACTACGTACGAAGGCGAGCGTTCGCGCTATGCGCGCTGTATGTGCGCGTGTGCGCGCGAGCCCGACCACTGTGCTCCATTATATTCGGCCAAGTTTTCTCACGGTCGGCCTCCTGTGTCGTGAGTTATCGAGAAAACTCGGGAAATCGATACTCGAGGAGATTTTCTTGGATCTCGTTGGATCCGTTTCGAATTTAGAGGGGTCTCGAGAATCGGCGTAATTTCACAGAGATCGCTGACTTTTGTTCCAGCGTTCGAGAGATAGGGCACCCCCGTTTACCGCTATTTATAATAACCAAGAGCGATAATGTCAAGTTAATCGATCGAATGCGCGCTTTGTGCTGAGAGAAATCTCTCGAGCACAACTCTCCTCTTAAGTAAAGTATCATATGATGATATTGCGCGAATATTCGATCTTTCTTCTTCTTCCTCTTCTTCTCCTCGATTTCTCTCGAGTTTCGCAGATCTAGAAGAAGACGATGATTCGGCACGGAAGAGAGATTTTCTTTTGAATTGATCCGAAATAGAGATATCTATCATTCGAACGTTTGACGCTTCTGTGACGATTCTCGGCAGAAAATGGAACGACGATGAAAGGTGGAAAAAAAAAAGCGGGCATTGTTCGTCGAGCAATTAAATGCGCGTTGGTTGCTATGAAGCCGACTGACAATGATTTCACCAGCGGGCGCCTGCTTATCGCGCCTCGTTCCATAGGAAAAAGGTGTTATCGTAGAAAAATCGTATCGGTCGTGTTACGCGTTACGTAGCATCGTATAGATTATTATTATTACGCGAAAAATTGTCACTGTGAATCGCGTAATTATTCTTGTTTTACTTAGAAAATAATCGATGTTTCGCGAGACTTATATCCAGCACATTGTACAAACGACGAAGTGATATGTCATTAATTTTTAAAAAATAATTTATTTACTTACAATCAAAATATGTATATATATATTTTATTACGTTAATTATCAAATTTCATTATTCTAAGATAGAATTAAGATAAAAAGAATAATGGTATCGAGGATTTTCGCGTTACTAATAAACGAGATAACGTGAGAATTCCGGAGTTCGTTTCTCGATCTCATTTCTCCTCCTCCATTATCCCTCATTGTTATCGCATCGTACAGAGTCCCGTCGATCG